TCCCGCAGCAGCACCAGCAGCAGCAGCAGCAGCAGCAGCAGCAGCGGCTGAGGCTGTTACTACAGGAAGGAGCCGAGAGCAGCGATTTCCTCCTCAAAGGTCAGCTGCCTCCGACAGACCAAACACAGCGCGCGAGCTCTCGCCAGCGCCGCTCCCCGCCCCTGTCGCTCCCTCCCTGCCTCCGCCCCCAGCCGCTGGCTCCCCGGCGAGGGCTGGGCAGGCGGGCCAGGCCGGGTGGCGCCCCCCGATCGTGGGGTCCCCCTTGTCTACCCCCTGCGGCTCTGCGGCCTGACCGGAGGCACAGGGGCAGCCAGAGTGGGCCGGGAAATCCCAGGCCTTGGAAATCCCACAGCTGGGCCTTCTTTTTTTTTATTTTTTTGGTGCCAGTCCTGGGGCTTGAACTAAGGGCCTGGGTGCTGTCCCTGAGCGCCCCCCCTCCCGCCCCAGACTGGCACTTTACCACTTGAGCCACAGCTCCACCTCTGCCTTTTTGGTGGTTAATTGGAGATAAGAGTTTCACAGACTTGCCTGCCCAGGGTTGGCTCCCAACTGTGAACTCCACATCACAGGAGTACAGGCGTGAGCCATGGCCTCCGTTTTTGTCGTTCGTGTTATTAGATTATTTGGACTTTGCCAGAAAACCAGGCAAACATCCAGTACAGAGAACAGAGAAAGGTTTATTGCCTGGAAAGGGGGCTGGCAAGACCCCTTCTCACAAGGGAGAAGTGAGAAGAAGCACCGGCTATTGTCTGGGGTGACCTATATAACCTAGGGGGTTTAGAAGGGGCTAGGAGGCTGTGACCCTGGTGTGGAGGAGAGGGCCAGGGGCTTCATCATGGCAGACCAGGATTTCTGGCTGCTGTCCAAATAGTAGATAAGGAGCCCTGCAGCTGCCGGACCCGAAGGTCACTCCAAGAGGCTCTTGTTGACTTATATGGTGGTAGCTGCCCCAGAAGAGTGCCATCCCAAGGTAAAGGGGGTTGGAGGCTGATTATTGACTGCCTTTACTAAATGGGCCTAGTGTTGCCTAGGAAGGGAGCATGCTAAGCTGTGGAGAGGGGAAGGAGTGGACTAAGCTATGGGAAGGGAGCTCATTTCGCTAACAATTAGTATAAATAGCAAGAGAGAAAGGTGAACTAGTTGAGAATGCCTCCCAGGTCTGGAGGGTGTCATCTTTTGAGTCTCTAAATTTAAAAAGTATGCTTTGTTGGGCAACAGTGGCTCACACCTGCAATCCTAGCTACTCAGGAGGCTGAAATCTGAGGATCACAGTTCAAAGCCAGCCGGGGCAGGAAAGTCCCTGAGACTCTTATCTCCAATAAACCACCAGAAAACCTGAAGTGGTGCTGTGGTTCAAGTGGTAGAGGGCTTGCCTTGAGCCGAAGAACTGAGGGACAGCGCCCAGGCCCAGAGTTCAAGCCCCACCACTGACCAAAAAAAGAAAAAAAAAGTGTGTGTGTGTGTGTGTGTGTGTGTGTGTGTGTGTGTAGCTTGGGGATCACAGCTGTGACTTCAGAGTCAAAGTTTTGGATATGGAAAGGCCTGGGGATTCCACAGAAGCCAAGTTCCCCACCACCTGCCTTCCTCATTCTCTTTTTCCATAATTCTTACCAGCTAAACTTCCCCCATTGAAGGAGAACCAGGAAACACCTTGGCAGTCACATGTTTCAGCCCTTCACCACTACCAAAACCCCCATTCTGACCTTTTCAGGTAAGAAATGTCAGTCTGGGTTCCAGTGACTTACACCTATAATCCTAGCTACCTAGGGGGCTGAGCTCTGAGGATCACAATGTGAAGCCAGCTCAGGCAGGAATGTCTGTGAGATTCTTATGTCCAACTAACTAGCAAAAAGCAAGAAGTTTAGGTATGCCTCAAGTGGCAGAGCACCAGCCTTGAGAGCAAAAGCTAAACAAGAGTGTTTTAAGGCCCTGAGCTCAAGCCCCAGTACCATACCATGCATGCATGTGTGTGTGTGTGTGTGTGTGCGCGCATGCGTGTGCGCACACATGAACACACACACTAAACAAACAAAAGAAATATCAGTCCATCAGTCCATGAAGGACACTGGCTTGCTCAGAGCCCTACAGCTGGCACATGTTCTCATCAATAGACTATGATCTACAAGCTATCCAGCCCCTCTTTTTACCCACCCAGCCTCATCTGAAGTTAGTCCTACCTTAAGAAATGTCTTTGGAGGGGCCATCTTGATCCCTCCAACCTCACATCTGCCCATAGCCCTCCTGACAGCAGCAAACCTCCTTTCTAGAACCTTGTCTGGTCATAGTCCCCATCCTTAAGATTTCCTTTACAAGGCCCCAGGGTTGGATAAGGTCAGCCTGGAAGCCTGCCATCCCCTTTGCCCAACTTCCCTCTCCTCTGGGCCTCCTCTCTGCTTGGCAGCTGGAATTGGCAGTACCAAAGGAGGGGCCAGCCTGGCTGCCCACTCACAGCCCAGCCTGGCCAAGCCTCAGTGCCCTGTGGGAGTCATTTTCTTTGTCTCCTCCCTCCCAATTCCTCGTTAGATCTGCCCTTTTCTCTCCATTCCTCACTCTTTACTCCTCCTGGTCCTGCCCCTTGCTACCTCCCTTAGTTTCATTCTTTTTACTTCAGAGGAGAAAAAAATGAAGTTTTCTGCAGAAGTTGAAATATCTGGGTTCTCCCCACCTTCTCTGTGTGGTCACAGTGACTTAGTTGGCAGGATTATGAGGAAAGGAATTGAAAACTGTAAGGGGTACCGTAGGTGATTTGGGGAAACCTTGCTCTCCAGATGTGGAGATTGGGGTGGCTTGGGAAGAGGAAGTTGGAGCTCTCTGCTCTCTCTTATTTCCCCCACCCACTGTGTGCAGAAGGAGAGGGTCAGACACATACCAGCTAGGTGTCATCTGGAATGAGAACCATGTATTAGAGCTGGAAGTGACCATGAAGAGGGGTGTGTGTGTGTGAGAGAGAGAGAGGGAGGGGCAGAGAGGGAGAGAGAGAGAGTGTCAGTCCTGGGGCTTGAACTCAGGCCCTAGGCACTGTTCCTGAGGGGTTTTTTGGTTGGTGGGTGGTGGTAGTGGGCTTGAACTCTGGGCTGAGTGCTGTCTCTCAGCTCTTCAGCTCAAGGCTAGTGCTCTACCACTTGAGCCACAGCACCATTTCTGTTTTTTTTTTCTGGTGATTAATTGGTGATAAGAATCTCCTGGACTTTCCTGCAAGGGCTGGTTTTGAACTGTGATCCTCAGATCTAAGCCTCCTGAGTAGCTAGGTGTGAGTCATTAATGCCTGGCTATGAAGATGATTTAACAAATAGGAAAACAAAGGCCAGAGAGGGGAAATGACATGTCCAATGTCAACTGAGCCCATCAGTGGCAGAGCCAAACCTTCTGGCAAATAGTTGTGGGGAGCCCCCTTGGCACTTGTACCCAGTGGCATTTCACTACCAAAAGGAGGAGATGGTTGAAGGAAAACAGTGAATTCATACAGATTTCTTGGGTTTCTGCTTTCTCTGAGCCAAGCCTAGAGGCAAAGGACTACCCTGATCACGCATTTCATCTGGGCCCCTGGAAGACAATGGAGTGGGGGTACACGTCTGAAAGTTGGGGCCCTACCTGCCTTTCAGGCATCTGCCTCTCTATACTCCTCTTCCAGGGCCTGCAGAGGCCTGCTGCTCCAGCTGGCAGCCCCACCCACCAACCATCTGGCCAGGTTGGGCTCCACTTGCCTAGGGAATATGTAGGTGAACAGAGGGTGTGAGGTAGCAGGGTACAGAACTGGAAGAGCTAGCTTAAAAAGGAGCAGAAGGGTCTTCTGCCCCACCTTGCTCAGAAGCACCTCCCCAGTGAGCCTCTGTTTCTCTCCCCATTGAGTCTTTGGAGGCCCTGAAAGCTTTTGTCTCTCACTGCTATTTCCTTGTTTTGCTTTGAGGTCTCTCTCCCTCCCTCTCTCTCTCTCTCTCTCTCTCTGGGTCTCAGTCTGGCTCTCTGATTCTATCTGGAGTTCTCTCCCTTTCTTTGTGCCTCTGTGCTCTCTCTGAGATGGAGTGGGCAGGAGTAGGAGCTTTGTAGCTTTCCCAAAATGAGCAACCTTCCCTTCCTAAACCCCGGTGTGGGGAATGGAGGAGGGAAGGGTGTCAGAATTGGGTTGGA